TTCGAAAAAGTACCCTGTACTATAGCCCATGGTTTTTTTCCCAAAAAATGTCTCCAAAATCACCCCCAATTTTTATTACATTTTCTGATACATATTAATGTACTTATGCTACGTAGAAAGTTTGAGCCAATTCCGACTTCAAATTTTTGAGTTATGACCATTTTTTAAAAACTCCAAATTTCGGAAAAATACCCTGTACTATAGCCCATGGTTTTTTCCAAAAAATGGCTCCGAAATGACCCCCAATTTTTATTACATTTTCTGATACATATTGATGTACTTATGCTACGTAGAAAGTTTGAGCCAATTCTGACTTCAATTTTTCAAGTTACGACCATTAAAAATAAGCCAATTTCTGAAAATTAGTTAAAATACCATGGGCTATTATTTCTTTGAAATCATCCCTAATTTTTATTGATTGTAATTTTTGAATCTCAGTCCCTAGTTTTGACAAGGAAGTCCTACCAGACCAGAACAATAGGAGAGATGGTTAATCTCATGTCTATTGATGCCCACAGATTTATAGAGACATTGAGTTACTTTCACATGGTTTGGTCTGGTCCTTTACAGATTGTTGTTGCTCTAGTGGTCTTATATTGGACAATGGGTCTTGCTATTCTTGCTGGCCTGGCAGTATTGTTATTATTGCTACCCTTTACTTTGCTGGTGTTCCTTCTTGGGCAGCGATTCCAAACTAAACTAATGAAAGCTAAAGACAAGAGATTGAGATCAATCTATGGAATTCTTAGTGGGATTAAAGTGAAGTCTTTTATTTATTATAAATTAATTGTTACCATTGGCTTTTAGGTAATTAAACTTTACGCTTGGGAATTTCCATTCAAAGAAAAAATAAAAGAGCTCAGAAACATTGAGTTAAAGTGTCTAAGGAAAATAGCTATTATTCAATCCTTTGCTACTCTAACTTGGTTTAGCACTAGCACTGTTGTAAGCTAATGAATAATAATAATAATAAATTAATAATACCCCTTACTCAAACTGTAGGTCACACTTGCAACATTTTCTACATTCATGTGGATTCACAGCACGATTGCTAACCCAAACTACATCATGACGGCAGGGAAGGTTTTTGTAACCATATCACTATTTGATATCCTTAGATACCCACTCACTAGACTACCAATGACAGTTGCATATATCATTCAAGTATCGATTTATTATTTGTACATTGTATAATTATTTTTGTACAGGCTAATGTATCACTGAAGCGCATTAGATCTTTCTTATTAGAAGAAGAATTGGACCTTACAGGTACTGATGATAGTGATACTACTACTGATGGTAAGTGTACTTTTGTAATTATAATGAAGTGTAGTATTTATACATTAAAAGGAAAGGAAGTTGTGTTAATAAGAGAAGGATCATTTTCATGGGACAAAGAAGAGGAGAAATTTATGCTGTCAGAGTAAGTGTCTGTGCCTTTAGTTAGTTTTCTACACTATGCAGTATTGAATTATCTGCAAGACCTGGTGAACTAGTGGCTGTAGTGGGACCTGTTGGTGCTGGTAAATCAGCATTGATATCAGCCATCTTAGGAGAAATGAATAAAATAAATGGACATGTAGTTCTTAGGGTAAAAAATTAGTGACAATACTTACTATAATATATTATAGGGTAGAGTAGCTTATGTACCTCAGATTGCTTGGATATTGAATGCTACAGTCAAAGATAACATTACTTTTGGTAAAGGGTTCAATAACGTTCTCTACAATGAGGTCATTAGTACTTGTGCTTTGGAAGCAGATATGGAAATATTACCAGGAGGAGACATGACTGAAATAGGAGAGAAAGTAACCAAATAGCTTAGTGCTTTAATAATCATGGTATTATTGACAGGGTATTAATCTTAGTGGTGGTCAGAAACAACGTGTTAGTCTAGCTAGAGCAGTCTACCAGGAGTCTGATGTGTATTTACTTGATGATCCTTTATCTGCTGTTGATTCACACGTTGGTAAACACATATTTGATAATGTGATAGGACCAGAAGGAGTATTGAAAAACAAAGTGAACACGACATTGATTTGACAGTAGTATTGTTTCATGATAGCATGTAGGTACGTATATTAGTGACTCATAGTGTGAGGTTCCTATCTCAATGTGATAAGATAATTGTCATGAATGAAGGCAGGATTAGTGAGGCTGGAACTTATTCAGAACTACTTGGACACAATGGAGAGTTCTCTGTGTTTTTACAAAACTATGGCTCAACAGATGAGAGTGATGAAAAGAAACAAAGTGAGTAATAAGATCGACATGAGCATTACACTTTATGCACATTCCAGGTGAAATCTCTGTTCCTGAAGAGAAAGGCTGTTTCTCTGACAAGATTAGTGAGTGTATATGTAGATTAATTTTAATTGTTTTATTTTTTTAAAGAAAAAGAACAAGAAAATTCTTTGATAGTTAATGAGAAAGTTCATCTTGGAATCGTAAGATAAGAATTAACACAATGGAATTGATCTTTTGTTTTAGGTTAAGATTTCTGTCATTGCAGCTTACATCAAATCCTTTTCCTACATTTCATTGTGTCTTGTATTACTCCTGTATTGCTTAACTGCTGGTGGATATCTTGGTCAGTTGCTCTGGTTAGCTCATTGGAGTAATGCTGGAGGAAATGATAACTTGACACTGTAAGTCTATAGTATTTTCAAGAAATTTTACAATCTATTTGACATGCTAGTTCTGCTAATCTTGGCATTTATGCTTCACTTGGAATGGCTCAATCTTTCTCATTTTTATTTGCTTCACTCACACTAGCTTTTGGAACTGTTAAAGCTTCAAGGAGACTCCACGCTAAAATGCTATCAAATATACTTCGATCACCAATGTCATTCTTTGATACTACACCTCTAGGAAGACTCCTGAATAGATTCTCAAAAGTACAGCAACAGCTTCATTTCCTTGTGTGCATAATTATTTTTAGGACACTAGCGTTATTGATGAGAAGATTTCTACATTCCTCAGTGCTTTCTTAACAACAGTTTTCTCTACAGTTGGTGTAGTAATAGTCATTTCAATTGCTTCACCTTGGTTCCTGTTTGCTACAGTTCCAATATCCATATTCTACCTATTTGTCCAGGTTTATCATCATATATATATAATTTCTATTGTGATTTTATTTTTTAATTCTTAGCGTTTTTATGTTGCTACTTCAAGACAGTTGAAGCGTCTCGAGGCAAACTCAAGCTCTCCCATTTACTCTCATTTCCAGGAGAGCATTAATGGAGTGACTAGCATTAGAGCTTACAATGTACAGGAAAGGTAGTGAGTATAATGAATCACTATTACTATTACTAGCACATTACAGGTTTCAACTGCTGTCCCAAGCTCATGTAGACTACAATCAAGTGGCCCTGTATTACAGTTACAATGCTGTAGTCAGGTGAAATGAATATTTACATTAAATTTTAAATTATTTATAATTAGGTGGCTATCAGTTCAGCTTGATTTTGTTGGTGCTTTGGTCATATTCCTGGCTGCAGTGCTTGCTGCACTTCAACGAAATTACCCTCAAGTTTTTGGTTTCATTGACCCTGGATTAGCTGGAATGTCAATAAGCCAAGCATTCATGGCTAGTGAAATTAATACATAGAGTTGCTTTTGTTGATTCATCATATTGATATTATTAGATGACATTGCTATTGTCTATGGTTGTCAGAATGACCAGTGACTTGGAAAGCAGTTTGATATCAGTTGAAAGAATTAAAGAATACACAGAGTCACCAAATGAGGTGCATATTGGTTAATGATTAACCCTCAAAATTATTTGTTTTTAAAGGCTCCTGAAATTATTCCTGATAATAGGCCTGATCCTAATTGGCCAGTAGATGGTAGCATTCAATTTGATGAATATGCTACACGCTATCGTCCTGGACTTGATCTTGTACTAAAGAACGTGTCTTGTTACATACCTGGTGGTCAAAAAGTCAGCACTTATATATAATAGTGTCATTCATGATCATTATGATTACTATAGGTTGGTGTTGTAGGACGGACTGGAGCAGGGAAGTCATCATTAACTATGTCATTGTTTCGTATCATTGAAGCTAATAAAGGATCCATTTTAATTGATGGCATGGACATCAGTGAATATGGACTACGTGACCTTAGATCACGACTAACAATCATTCCACAAGTTAGTGATAATTATTGGCATTATAGTTTATCATTATATATTTTCTAG